CGTCTTTATGAAGGGTACTAGAAAGAGTTCACTCATCTAGTCGAACCGATTTGAACTGTAGTCAATACCATATAAGTACACCCATAGTGCCTAAAAGAATGGCTGGCCAATACGATTCAAGAAACAACACACAAAATTGAATCAAAGGAACCCCCAACAGTCGTGTCTTGGGTTATTTCTGTTGACTAAATCATTTTTTTCCTTCTTTTTTTTTCTTCCTTTTCTCAGTGATAACTTGAAATCACAATATCCTCAGTACAAGAGAAGATTCATTGCAGATGGCAATCCTACTTCTCGACCGAGCTCAATTTCTGCCGAGCTTGACGGTTACAGTTTTCGAAACTTTTTACGAGATGAGCACATTTCAAAGAGTCATTGGGATGATCTTTGTAACACTGAAAGCAAGCTTCACTCTCAGCCACGCATGGCATGGGCTTTTGGTATGGGAGCTTGAACTCCTTGTCATGGAGTTCCTTTGCCCTTTGAGTAACTTCCTGCACCATGTTGTCTTCCTGCTTCTGCAACTTATCGACAACCCTTTCGCTCTCTTGCAGGATGGATCGGATTGCATCTAGCTCTGGATTGGCAGAATGCACGGGCGGAATTATGGGAAGAAAGAGCGGAGGAGCTTGGTGAGGCCATCCATCACTTGTGCTTCCCTTGAGCACTCCAGAATCATCAGATACATGTTTCTGATCAACCTTTACTTGGGGTTCCTTGGTTCTGTTTCTTCTCGGTTTTCTTTTCGGTTTTTCGGTATCATCAATTAACATATTAACAAGGTTTGAACTAATCTGAATGGAAAAATCACCCATTATGCTCCTAGGCAGACTACCTGAAAAGCAGGACAGAAATCATATTAACAAACACTAGTAGTGATTTCTAGAAGAGAAAAAATTTCATCCATGAAATTACAAAGAAGTTATCTAGTTATGATGAAAGACTACAATTGCTAAAAGAGTGTTTATATTTACACCAATAAAGAGAAACAAAAATAACCAAATCCAAGAAACAACCAAAGGAACAAGAGGTGTCCCTAAAAATTCAACCATTCCACACACTCCAAAAGAGTCTAAAGAACACCCTTGAAAACGCAAGCCACAACATCTTCTTGGAACCATGAAAAGGGTAGCCCACAAAAACATTTGCAAGAATTTCATAAACTGTAGAAGGCACAACAAAAGACCAGCCAAAAGTATCCACCGTATAAACCCAAAAGTGGGAAGCAAAGGGGCATGAAAATAAATGGAAAAAACCTTGAATTTCTTGAGATAAACATCCTTCCAAATCACTGAATGAAGATTACATTAGTAGTAGAAAAGGAGGCCAGACTTTAGAGAATATCCAATTATCCGCCATGCAATATAACATGTTATCACAATTAACAGATCGGGAACGTAATAATTTCAAGCCGATTGTCTCTGCAGTGACCAATCTCGAAACCAAAGAAAACCACATAAATGATCTCTATTCTCTCACTCTAAGGAAGTCAAAAATTTGCTAAAGTCTGTGTATGATGTACCCACGTTTGACATTCGTCAAACACTCTTAACGTCAGAAATGTTTGTAAAGAATTAGACCATTAAGCATTTTAGGCATGTGGTGGGCACTTGTCTGATCATAACTGGATATGTTCAAAGCATTTGTCAAACATGGTAGACACGAGACAATTGTAAACTCTCGCCAAACAAATTTTGTGTCCTAACTCCTAATTGCTTAGAAAATAACATGTCATTGTGTTCGTGTTGCATCCTGACCACATCCCATGTCTCTGTCTAGGTCATGTTTCTTAATTTAAATTAAACACTAATATCTTTTAAAAGTTTTACAACCACATTCATTGTTTATCAATCACAAACAATAATAACACCTCTACATACAAGGGCAAAGAATGTCAAAGGATAATACCCCCCATCCAAATTTTGCATCATCAAAAAAATTATTAATGAACTAAGAAAATGATTAAGTGTACCATTGCAAAATCTTAGTGCTCGATCAAAGCCTAAAAAAACAGATAGAGACAGAGAGATTAAAACCAGAGTATGCAGAAGACTTACGTCAAAGTTGATAAACTAACAAAGCCAATAGAAGAGTAGAAGAAACTCTTTAAGCAGATCTCAGAAATAGTTAAAGCCGTAGTCAGAAGGACAAAGAAAGACAACTCTGAAAGGGCTTTTTCAGTCTAAATGTTAGCACAAATACCAAATAGAAGATTAGAATGACCAATTAATGCATTTTCCGGAGAACTAGAGGACACTTATGAAAACCAATTCAAATTGGGTAGTTGCCAAGTAGCTGAAAATCAATATTCTACAGTAGACGCCTCAAGGACTAACTAGCCAGGGGACACTTTTCTTCTCACATTGACTCCCAAATCTAACATACAAATGGACAGTCACGTTGTTTCCCAATTTGAATCACGTGAATCGAACGGTAACCTCAATTCTTCATCGACAGAAAATAGCATGAATGAGTGAAATAAAACTGTCTAGGGGTTATTGCAACAGCTCAAGCCCACCGCTAAAAGATATTGTCCGATTTGGCCCGTTATGTATCGCCGTCAACCTCATAGTTTTAAAAATGCATCTGTTAGGGAGAGGTTTCCACACCCTTATAAGGAATGCTTCGTTCCCCTCTCCAACCGATGTGGGATCTCACAATCCACCCCTCTTGGAGGCCCAACGCCCTTGCTGGCACACCCTTTGATGTTTAGCTCTGATACCATTTGTAACACCTCAAGCCCACCACTAGCAAATATTGTCCACTTTGACCCATTACGTATTGTCATCAGGCTCACGGTTTTAAAATGCATTTGTTAGGGAGAGGTTTCCACACCTTATAAGGAATGCTTCGTTCTGCTCTCCATGGGATCTCACAGTTATGAAGTTATTTTGTTTCTGGCTCTATAACATTTGGATGCCAAAGAAGCTAGTAGGATATTAAATCTTAGTAGATAGCCACTATGGATTGAATTCATTCCCTGCCCTCACTGACCACAAGATGGTTTACACAAATACACACTAACAGACTTGTCAAGCAAAAGGAGATACCAAGTGAAACGAAATTTGATTACAAACCAACACAAATGGAACCAACATCCAAAATCAACGAACATCTAAATATATCATAAATTACAGACCACATCCACATCCACTGGTCCACCATAACCTACAATAGAGGGAAAACAAAAGCAGCTAGCTAAATCGTCCCATTCTCAAAACCCACCGCAGTAAACTCAGATTCGCATAAACATATACCACTGCCAAACCCAAGAAACCCTCCAGCAATAATCGCTAATTGGAAAAGGACGGTATTCAAATGCAATTGATAAAGCACAGAAGACATCGGATACACAAAATCTTCAAAATGGAACCCATAACAATGGCATAAACGCTAGGGCACCCAACAGAAGAAGATCCAGGAAACAATTCTAGAAAACGGGAAAAGAAACGCCGATTGATTATCATATAAAAGGAAGGTAATAAAAATGAATGCACACCGGTGACGATCACGGCTCCGTCTGCAGCAGATTCAGAGTTGGAAAAGGTAAGCCCTAGCGTAAAATCAAATCCTGTATAACGAAACACAATACAGAAACAATCGTGCTTACTTTATTTTATTCCGAGAAAATAAAATGTCTTATAAATTCGATTTCTCAAAATAATATTTTTTTCTTTTTAATTTTAACTACATTTTAAAATTTTAAATGTCAATTTTCATTATTGAATTCTTAATTAGTTTATTAATCTATTTACAAAAAAGAAAATTCATTAAATCTTAATAATAGTTTTTACCGTAAAATTAAATGTAGGTTTTAACCAAAAAAATAAATAAATAAAAACTTTAATTTATATTTTTTAATTATACTAAATGTATCATCGTTCATGTATTAACAAAATATATATATATATTGAAGTATTATTGAAATACCGATGTTATACTTTATATGATTTTTCCATGGTTCTTAATAATCCATTCATACATTAATCATATATTTGAAATTTCATTTTAAAGTTAAAAATATTGACCTACATTAATATTAGTTTGTATATTTTAATATTAAATTAGTTAAATTATAAGTTCGACACTTAAAATTTAAAGGTTGCGAGTAACGGATTTATAAATTTTAAAAATAAATCTTTATACTTTCAATTATATATTTAATATGTTTTTAACTTATTACTCTCAATTAATCGGGTAGGAGAAAAGTGTCTTAATTATTATATAAATTATAAATTTTGAATTTGTGGGGAAGGTTCCTTCCTGATTGAATTAATTTACTATTTCAAACACTGGTAAATAAGGAGAAGTAGCTCAGGTCATAGAGTCTGGTTCAGGGGAATGAGTGAAAGAAGGTGTCCGGTTGTCCACTTCTAATAAACGTGATTGACCCAATTCTAGAAAATTTGTAGAAGATCAAGAGTCAAGAGATTTTATCGCCCTCTGTCCCACACATCTATCCAGAAGCAAGTGTAGTTCACCCCTTCCACCTGAGTTGATCCATCTCTATTGACTATAGTCAAGGGTGGAGAGCTTGGGAAGCTCGGACCCGGTCAAGATTCGAAGGTTTTCTCTTTCTTCTTTCCTTCCTAATTACCTTGACTTTCCCTTTTTATGTCTATTTAATTGTTAAGTTTTAAAAAGTATTTAATAGACTAAATTTTTAATTTTGTATTCTATAATCTTTAAAAAATAATTTAAGATTTATTGGACACTAAATTAAAATTTTAGTCTTAACGAGATCTTCCATAACAGAATAAAAAACGTTAATTTCATTTTATTGACATATTAAATATTTTTTAAATTCAATGACTTCTAAAATACAAAATTGAAAGCTCGTGAACTAGACTTGGAATTAATGAAATAGAGTTTACATTATTATAACTCAAATATAAAACAATTACATAAATAAAAAAAGTGACAAAATCATCCAAACTACAAATGTTTTCAAATAAGGTACTATTTCCTGAATTTTAACCTCTAAACTACATAGAAAGTGGATCGATTATAGACGATATCTGAGATGCTAATAAAAGACGAGGGAGACAAAGAACAAGAGTAGAAGTGTAAATCCAACGCCTGTTTCCAAGAAAAGATCATAAAATATTAATTTAGAATCAAGAATCAAAAATCAAATACACGTCCGGGTAAATATTATATAACTTTAAAAACTTTTAATTTTATATCTATTAAAATTTTAAACTTAAAATTTTAATTTTATATCTAATAAAACTCAAAATTTTTAAATTTATGTTTAATCAATTTTTAAATGATTAAATGTAAATCACTAAATTTTATAAAATAATAATAATAAAAAAGACATTAATTGTTTTTTTTTAATAAAAAAAAATGGAAAGAAGTCATTTTTCATTAGCTTATCAATTAATGGGAAGAACATTAAGAAAGTGGGACCCAAGTTTGGTTTGCTTTGAAAAATCATATAATGAAAGGAAAAAAAGGGTTTCACATTAAATTTAATATTCCAAAAAAGACCTTTGATTTTTTCCTAAAGAAAAATAGTGAGTTTTTTTTTTTTTTTTTAAATTAAGGGTATTAATGGAATTTTAAAAAACTCAAAATTTATTTGTTAAAATTTAAATATATTTTAAATTCTTTTTAAAGATTATAGATATTTTCTAGAGAAATAAAAAATTAAAAGATATTTTTATTAATTTAACTATTAAAATACTACTCAATAAAAATAAAAATAATTCAAGAGCAGTGGATGGGATAAAATATCATTTAGATATTTAGCCTAAATTTAATTATCATTTTATTTCACAAGGTCAAGGTTGGTTGACTGAAAAAACTAATTAATTTATTCATAAAAAATCCAGCTGTCAATATCATTAAAAAATATCAACGAATTTGCAGAAAATAAAAACTGAAATGACGAAAATAGCCATCAAGTTGGAAAAATTTACCTGCCGGTAAAGATGGAGCACCGTGCGACGGAGCCGGAGCACCAGCTGTACAATCAACGGCGGAGCAGAAAGGAAAATTCAGTCAAATAATCAATCAGAGAACCAAATTGAGAAAAATCGAAGGAATCAACGGTCATACTTTTGCACTTGGAGAGATCGGTGGTAACGCCGCAGGCCTTAGTGAGATGGAGAGCGTCGGAGACATTAACGCCGATCGACGAAAAGAAATCCGGCGAGGTGTAGAGGTTGCAGAGGCAATCGAGCTGCGTCGCCACCGCTTCCTTAATCGGATTGCAGCACGTCGCCGGCGGATTATTGGATTTCAGGAAATTCGCACAATCCGCTAGCTTAGAAGCACAGTCCGGCTGCTGCGCCTCCACGAATCCGACGGTCACCACCACCACCGCCACCGCCACCGCCACCACCACGACGGAAACCAAACTTCCGGCCATGTAATCTTTCCTCCTCTTCAATTCGTTTTCGATTCCGTGTTGTTTCCGAGTTCTGTGCTTTCGGACTTTTATAGAAATGAAAACCAGAATTTACTCCTAACCGACGCACAAGTGTGAAATTAACTTGACTTGCCGTGGGAAAACAAACAAAATACTCACGCGATTACTCAGAGCGTGTACTTCACGTGCTTTCATGATTTTCCCACCCTTTTACCAGGTCGTACCTATTATTATTATTTTTTTTTTAATTCTAATTCCTTTATTTTATTTTAAAAGAAAAAAAAGGAATAAACATTTTGGTGACCACGTTATTATTAAACTTTAAAAATTTAAAAATTTTAATTTTGTATTTAATAGATTTATGAATTTTAAAATTTTTTTTTTTTAGATTGTTTATAAATTGGGTTGATGATTAAAATATTTTTGTACCCAATGTTGTTTATTTCGTTCATTTAATTTTTTATTTTTAATAAAAATAAAATAATAGTTTATAAAACATCCATTTATTTATTTTTGTTTGAAATTCAATTTTAATATTCTATTTTCAAAAGTACTCTTCTAAATAATTAAAAAATATTGTTGGAGAATAAATAATAAATAATAAATATAAAATTAAATAATTACATGCATATATAATTATATTATAAGTAAAAACGTATATTTTAAAATTAATAGTAAATTAAGTTACCATTTAGTTTTGAAACCATGCTCAATTTATAAATTGTTTATTTATTTAAACTTAATTCAACTTAAATAAGGTTATAATTCATACGTGAAACGGGTAGGACTTTTCAGGTCATTAAACTTTTTTTTTTCTTTTTTTAAGATCGTCTACCTTTTAGAATTTTCAAATTTAAATCTATGTATGGTGCTTAATAAAATAAATAAAAAAAAAATTGAATTTTCCACTTTCTTCAAAATATCTCTTCTCTCTCCTAGACCGATCCCTCAACTTGTCGGATTCTCTCAATTACGGTAGGGGTTTAATTGTGAATGTTAGGTAGATAGGATCGAATAATGGGTTTCTAATATGATGTCGTGAACTCATATAGGTTAATCTGGAGTTCAGGGTATGAGTTTGGACTAGCTTCAAGGATTAGTTAGTAACTTCATCTTAAGCTATCCAAGTGAGTGACTTTACTAACGTTTGGGATGGATGAATAAGCATGAGTAGTGTGTGCTCTGTGGACCTTACAAGCGTCGTACCTTGTGATTGTTATATTCGCTTATTATGTTATGATAAGAATGTCATGTTTTCTCGTTAGGCTATTGATGAATGATATGAAATGATTATGTAAGGTATGAAAAGAACGAAGATATGTATGGCATCACAACTACATGTAATGATATTAAACTATGAGAACCTCATGCATATTAAAATTATTTGAATGTTTGGAAGGTTGAAGTTTAGAATAGTGAGGATGAAAGTTCGTCTATTTCTATTTCCGTAAAGATGGTCCATACAAAAAGTATCAGGGGCATAGCTACAACGTATATTACGAAGTCTTCCAATTCGAGACTGTCGACTTTAAAGTATTCGAACTTACTCATGAGCATGAAGATGACATGCGAAGGGCCGTAGAAGTGAAGAGCTTAGATAATGATGCTATTTTCATTGGTGACTTTCAGTCCATTTGTGTTTCAACTAAAGAATTTCGTAAATGTTTACCAAATCGTATATATTTTACCGACAATCGTTACATTCATCTTGTTGATGGGAAATTAGATGGAACTCTAGATTTAGGTAGGTTCAACTTCGAAGATAGAAGCTTTGGAGACCATTACATAAGAGATCGTGCACAAAAAAATTTGCCTTAAGATCCCAGCCTAAGCTTGACTAAAAAGGGCTTGTCTTCAACTCCGGGGGTTGGCTGGTTGGAAGAGATTGCTTTCTGCCGTCTGTTTTTCCCTTCGAGATCTTCTCTTAACAAAGTAGGTTCAAGTCACACTTTTGGCTTGCTACAAGCTCGGCTCCCAACTATATGTTCCAAAAAATTAGATGATTAAAATTTATTTAACAATTTTGCTCATTGATATGAACCAAGAGACATCAATCATACAATATGCTTCAATGAAGACGAGAAGAAAATATTATTGAAATTATCAAAAGATATTTCAATTCATACCACATCGAAGAAGAATGAAGTTTCATGTTATAAATTTTGGGTGGAGTACAATTTATAGTAATTTAAAGTTATTTTATTCCATTAATGTATTTTAAGACTTTTTATTTACTTTATGTTACAACTCTTGTAATGCCTTTAATAGTTTCATTTTCAGACTATATAGGCATGTATGTTGTATTTGTAAGCAGACTTAGAAAATATAATAAAAGAAGTCTCTTCTTTTAGCGAATGGCTAAGTTTCTTTCCAATTGTATATAGTTTAGGTTGCATGTAAAATCATTCAAGCTCAACATGATCAATCTTGTTTGTGAAGTGATTCGAATCTCAATCAAGTGTTGTTGCGTTGAGATATTTGATCAACAAGAATCATTCAAGTTAGACATGATTGATCTTGCTTGTGGAGTGATTCGAATCTCAAACAATGTTCTTGCCATATTCGATCAACAAGATAATTTGAATCTTACTCCCCTTGTAGTGATTCCTTATCATATCATTTGGTATAGAGCTTCAGGCTCAAGATTGGATATATGTTTTCTTTGCGTTTCTTCTCAATTTGATTTTTATTTATTTTTATCTTTTTAGTTTTTAATGAACGAAGAGTTCAAAATTCAATCTTGGCTCTATTTAAAATTTTGAGAGGTGAAAATAAAGAGTGACCTAAAATTTCTTGAATGTATACTCGTGAGAGAGTGTTGTGAGGTCCTTATCACTTATGTTCGGTTACCATTTTTTTTTTTTAATTTCAAAACTCTTGTTTTTATATTTACTTTAGTTTTATTATCAATTTTGTTGTAATTTAAGACAATTATATTTTCAACATTTATGATAAACATGAAAAGTGTTTTGTTCTCCCCCAACCAATATGAGATTCTCATAATCCACATTTTTCAGGGCCCAGCATTCTCGCTAGCACTCGTTCCTTTCTCCAATCGATGTGGGACTCCCACTAAATCCACCTCCTTCGAGGCCCAGCATCCTTACTAGCACATTGCCTCATGTCTACCCCTTTGGGGAACAGCCTCCTCGCTGGCACATAGTCCAATGTCAGACTCTGATATCATTTATCCTTTTTGGGCTTTTCCTTTCGGGTCTTCTCTCAAAATTTTTAAAACCTTCCATGCTTATAGAGAGTGTTTCGTTCTCCCCCAACCAACCTGGGATTCTCACCTATAGATTGGAAAGAAAAATGGATTCCATGACAGACGAAGAAACTTCCCCATAATCAAAACCGTCCATTTGTAGAGACAGCGGGAAATGGAACCCTCAGTTTCTTCCAATCACAGCCATTCTCTTGATGATCTTAATCAACCAATCATATACTGCTACAACTCAACCAATCAACGACACCCAATTCATCAAAACCAATTGTCAAACCACACCCTACCCTGACCGACGCCTCCGCCATTCACGGCAGCCATCGTCTGATGACTATCGCCGCCCTCACTGTCGCTCTCACGCACACGCACGATGCCTCATCGACCATCACGAGCCTGGCCAAATCGAATGCCTTAACACAGCAAGAGAGCTATGATTTGAGTGATTGCATGGAAGAATTTGGAGATTCAATAGAAGAGTTAAAGATGGCTGTGGAGGAGGAGTTGAAGGGTAATGACAAAACCCGACTTGACACTGAGGATATTCAGACGTGGGTAAGCGCTGCTCTGACCGACGACAACAGGTGCATGGACGGGTTCGCCGGAGACACAATGAACGGTAGCGTGAAGGAGTCGGTGAGGACATTGGTGGTGGATGTTGCTCAATTGATAACCATTGCTCTCTCACTTGTTAGGCAACTGAAGTGAGTGTAATCAAATAATTTTTTTTTGAAGTTAATTCCAATTTTCTTTTAAACTTCAAATTTATTATGAGTTTCATCCTTAATCTTGGAAGTCTTTTGAAATTAAAATTTTATTTAATGGATTTATATTTTGAATTGAAATGTTAAGAAAAATAATTAAAATAAGAAATATATTTAGATTATAAAATATTTTATTATTCTTTTTTTGTCGTCTTATTATTAGATTCATATTACATATTATTATTCTTTTTATATAAGACTTCGAACTTAAACGTGAGAAGAAATAGAGATTAGGGGTGTACATCCAATCCGACAATACAAACTAACCCATCTCGAAGTTTAGGGGTTGGTTTGGGTTATTTTTCTTAAACTCAAAATGACTCAGTTTGATTTTGAGGTCATAAGTCTAAAAGGTCGAGTTGAGACCCAAATGGAAACAAATTTATAAAATATATTAAGAAATTTAACTTTCATTATTTGGTTTAGTTCCTTTTATATATATATATATATATATTATTTTTATTTTTGTTAATTTACCGTATTAAATGTAAGTAAATTTTTTTGGATAATTTACGGTATTTTTTTTTTTTTAGTTTTTGTTAGGTATGGTTTCTTTAAGCTAATTTTTTTTTTTTTTTTTTAATTTTAAAGGAATCGAATCAACTATCAAGAAATGCCGAATTAGTTGTATTTAGTTTTATGATAATGTTCAACTGTTAAAGATATTATTTTCTGGTGGTATTGTTGATGAATTTTTTTTTTTAATGATTATAGATTGATTTGTGGTTGTCTATGAACTTTTAATACATCTGATTTAAAATTGTATTTAATGATTATAAAATGTGGATAAATAATCTTTTTAAATTAAAAAAAAATTAACCTAACCTAAACCCAACCCGAATATAGAAGGTTGAGTTGGGTTATCAATCAAACCAACCCGAATTTATAGGTTGGGTAAAAAAAAATTCCTCAACTCAATCCAACTCAAACTATGTACACCCGTAACATAAATATAGCTCATCATTACATGAATTGACATTTCATTTATAACACAATATTATGTAGCAATAATGACGTATCATAGTCAATCATAAAACAACAAATATAATATCATCATACATGTCAA